GGTAAAATTTCATGGAGATCCATTCACTTAAACTAAAGTTAGAGTGCGAAAACCAATGTGTCTTCGGACGACGCCGGACGACGCCAGACGACGACGACGATGACGACGACGACGACGCCAACGTCATACCAATATACGACCAAAAAAATTTTAATTTTTGCGGTCGTATAAAAATTATAATAAAAATATCGAACTCCAAGGTAAATTCAAATAGATGTCCATAAAAACTGACAATCAAACGTTATCAATCAACGGAACGAGTGAAAAGCAACTGTCAAATTCTAGACTTGTACATGCATTTTCCAAAGAAAATGGTGGGTTAAGCCTGTAATTATAGCTAGCTAAACCTCATTTTTTGTATTTTGTAATGTGTATGTTTTCTGGTTTTTTTTTCTCGTTTTTTTGGCATATTCGTGGTCACATTATACACAGCAGCGGGTAATAATGTTGTAATGTAACCCTCTTGTATCAACCAAAAATGTAGATATCCTATTTGTTCTTATCTTGATTTATTTATTTTTATTTCCAAATAGGTAACGAAAAAGAAACTTACGTGCGATAAGCAAAAAAGCAAAGTTTGATTTTGTGTTTGTTGTTTTTCCTCTTTTCTTGGTATTGTCCGTTTTTCTTCGACTTACATGTATTTGTTATTTTCCATTTGGTATCTTCTGTCCCTTTTTACAACAAAAGAGACAGTTTTTCATTCCATATTGTTAATTTTCCGCTTTTGGACTATGATGTTCATGTGTACGCTTCTTATAGTGTGTTTATTTTCGAACTCGTTCACCATGCCCATGTCCAAAGTGACATTCAATTAAACATGATAACTTTAAAATTTGAAGCAATAGTAGTTTACAGATGTTCAATAAAATTGAGAATGGAAATGGGGAATGTGTCAAAGAGACAACAACCCGACCAAATAGCACAATACAGCCGAAGGCCACCAATGGGTCTTCAACACAGCGAGAAAATCCCGCAACCGGAGGCGTGCTTCCGCTGGCCCTTAAACAAAAATGTGTACTAGTTCAGTGATAATGGACGTCATACTTAACTCCAAAACATATAAATGAACTAAAATTAAAAATCATACAAGACTACCAAAGGCCAGAGGCTCCTGACTTGGAACAGGCGCAAAAATGTGGCAAGGTTAAACATGTTTTGTGAGATCTCAACCCTCCCCTATACCTCTAGCCAATGTATAAAAAACAAACACACAGCAATACGCACAGTAAAACTCAATTTAAAAGAAGTCCGAGTCCGATGTCAGAATAGGTAACAAAAGAAACTAAGCAAAATGACAATGATACATAAATTAACAAAGGACTACTAGCAGTTACTGACATGCCAGCTCCAGACCTCAATTAAACTGATTGAAAGATTATGTCTTCATCATATGAAAATCAAGCACAATCCCTCCCGTTAGGGGTTTAGTATCATACCATCATAAAATATATGAGAAGAACAATAAAAATAATAAATGTGTTTATTTCCGATGCAAAGACCCTATGAGTGAATCAATATTAAAACCAAAATATGCCATCTTTAATGACCTGACAACAGTATCGTAATTATATCCCTTCTTAATAAGTCTGTTTAAAGGTTTGGTTAGCTTTTGAGGTGAATGTTGACATTTTTGTGCTTTGTAAAGAATATTATCATTACAGATTGAATGTGAAATACCTGAACGTATAAGATGTCTGCATGTTGATTTATATTTAGGAATGATGCCCTTTTTTGATCTGTTTGTATATTGCCCTTTCATACTATTTTAAACTGCTAGGTTTTCTTACATATATTTCGATGTGCCCCGTGCTGTTTATCATTTGTTTCGTTTAGTTTTATATGTATTGTCTATCATTTGTTGTTTCGAAATTATTGGTCTTTTGTTGGGCAATGTATGACAAATATATGTTGAAAGACCTCGCCCGTAATTATAAATTATGTAATTCATTGACCGCTCCCGACATGTGTAACTTCAAGGCATATTTTAGCGCCGATCGATGTCTTTCAAAATTGCTGCACTTTTCTTGTTTCCCTGGTGCTTTTGACTAGAGAACCGTCGTACACAAGCATCGCACAAGTTGGCACTCCGAGGCGGGTGGGGACAAGAAGGTGAACTGTGGTTTATTTTTATCAATAGTACCGCGTAAGTCGACGCTAGGGGCCGTCTTGACCTTGTTGAAGGGTATAAATGATTTGTTCATTGTTGAAGACCCTACATCAACTGTCAAGATGAAGAACAGGAATAAAAGCCCTGTTCATTGATAATTTTCTGTTTGCTATGTATTGTGTGCGATTTTGTCCCATGTACATTTACTCCATATCCTTTCATTTTCTATTGTACCGATGATAAAATTTAGTAAATGTTTTGACTAGTTTGTGATATCGAAAACCCTGGTGTAATAATTTTTCAGTAATACATAGATTTCTTTCGTTAAATTCAAATACGTTGTTACATACACTCAACTCTATTAAATCTGTTAAAAAGACATAAATCAAGTAAAAACCAAAAGCTGAGGGAATCTATGAGAGCCTAATTTTTAAGTCATGGATTTTTGTTACCACATATTACTTCAAACCTTAGGTAAGCTCTTTCATAGACACAAATATGAACTAAGATTCAATCTATATGATATAAAACTTATTGATCTTTTGAATAAACTTCCACTTCATTTGAACTTTGGTGGATAGTTGTCTCATTGGCAATCATACCACATCTCCTTATTTTTATATTATGTTATGTGTTATTTGTTTACCCTTGTAGTAAGATCGTTAAATATTGTGTTTATGGGTACAGTAGACTCCACCTAATCGGATATCGGCTAAACGAATATATCGGCTACTGTAATATTATTTCAAAACACCAAACCCTTCCCTATATGTTTAATGTTAATTTTATCGTGTAATCGAATATCGGATATAAGAATATATTGGCAAATCGGATAAGAATATTCAGGTCATTTTGTTTCAAAACCATGCACAATCGGATATTTTCAATGTTTTTCTGACAGGAAATGGACCCCAGGAAGTTACGAATTTACAATCTTGCAGACAAGAAGATTTTGTTTTTACTAAATAAAAGGAACTATTTCTTAATAAATTGTTGTCTTTAATCATTGTCTTCCTTTGTCATGCGAATTAGATGCCCTTTTACTTCAAATGGTTTGAATTTATTTATAAAATATGCAAGACTCAGTTGACAAGTTGACGTTGCTGTTTGGAGAATTTTGATTAAACTCTAAATGTTCACAGAATCAGAAATATAATCTAAACTGAATGTACCTCCTTCTGAATAATTTATTGCAATATAAATATAAATCCCTTTTGACAAGAGAAATCTGACTTTTGTCAGATATATTTTTTTCACATGTGCAAAAGTAACCACATGTCATGGACGCCATTTTGGATGTTTACAAATTTGTGAGGAAGCCTCTAGAACTATGACCTAAATATAAATAGTCTTCAGAAAACGTTAACTTTATGCAATAATATTTTATCAATCATGATTATTTTCATCAATTTAAATTTGATTATTTAAAGAACTAAAATTATAACAGATACGATTTTAGTTTGGAGATTCTACACAGACATGCTTAGATCTATTTATAGCCAAATTAGTTTACCTGTGTGATAATGTAAATAATGGAAAATTGCTATTTGCTTACAAAACAAATAAAGACAAACTATGGATGGTAGATAATAATTCACATAAATATTTTAGGACATTTTATTTATTTTAATAAATAAAGGATTTAAAAACTGCAAACAAATTTAATCATTACATAATCAGCTGATAATTTTTTACACAAACATTGTGGTGATGTAACTGATAAAAATCACTCCATCAATCCTCCAACCCTTTCACATATTTAGCAATTGTCAGGGTTAGTAACATCTCAGGATTATATCTACTCATTATTGCAGAATATTCAATGAATATACATTCATCGTCTAATTGAATATATCGGGTAATCGGATATTTTTAGCTGACATTTTTGGTATCCGATTTGCCGGAGTCTACTGTAATAACATTGATATTATATAAATTAGTTTGATACATACCGAAACCTGTATTACTGTCCAGCTATTAACACTTGTGGTCCTACATCCTGTAGATACTTTCATTTTCCTTTATCCGTAACTGCTAGTAATCTTATATCGATACGTTGTGTTTCTGCTTTGTACCCACCTGTTGTGTCAATCTTTAATCACCTGATTTCTAGTTTGTTCTTATGTCATGTTGTTACACCACTGTCCCAGGTTAGGGGAGAGTTGAGCGCTCACAAACATTGTGTAACCAAGTCACATGCTTTTTTTCTCCCAATCATTGTTTCACATTTTGTATTTTATAGCTTACTATCCCAGTATTCAGTATGGGTTTTGCTCATTGTTCAAAGCCATACCTGTAGTTGTTTAAAGCCATACCTGTAATTGTTTAAAGCTATATCTGTTATTGTTCACATCTTGTGATTTGATCTTTAATGGATAATAATCTCATTGGGAATCAAACCACCTGTTATTTTAATCAGCTGAAAAGGCTCAAGATCAGCACTTTTAATTAGCTGAAAAGGCTCAAGATCAGCACTTGACAAAAACATATCAACTAGCAAGATTACTAAAGACACAAATTACACTAAAACATAGTTCAAAGCCCAAATAAAACTAAAAAGTATGTAATATTTTCCCACACTAAAATATCAATCAGTACACCTCCAAAGAAATAAGTGTAAAAAAGATTGGAGAGTTACGAAGGAGGCAACCAAAAGCCATAAGTCGAATAAAAAGCAAAAAATAAACATGGCCAAAAAATAAAAACATTAAACAACTCACTACATAGAAGATTGTGCATTTAAGCATGTTGTTTGACTAAACTACCTTGAGTGTAGAGCTTCCACTTATGGAAGTATCATTTTGGATTGTCATCAATGTGACTTAACTGGGTCGCAGGATATCTCGATTTCATCCAAAAATTTGTTGCAAGAGAATAATGATAGAAATAATTGTCATGACATAGTTTCTTTTTTTAATTCTAATAAAACTTCGACACTGTAAAACAATATTGCTTTTCTGTCTATCAGTATGAAAATAAAATATTACATCATTTTGCTGCCATTTGTTATTTAATCTTTGCATTACAATAAAATATGGTTAAAAAAATGTTGTAAATTGTAGTTTGAGATTGCTGTGAATGCCTGTTTGTTGTTGTTGTTTTTTTAAATGGTATGTATTGATACTGTAACTGATTTCAAGATTGTAGAACATTATAACCATGTAGAAAATAAATGACAAAAAGTTACATACTCACAGAATCACAATCATCCATACAGACAGGTATTAAAGTCATCCTTCGTTTAAAAATATATATATTAAAACATTGGATGGGAATAGAAGTTGTCAAAGTAATGAAAAACCAAAAGAACACCATTCCTATGTTCCAAATGCCAGTAAATAATTTATTTGTCCAAAGGGCTATAGCTCCAATTATTGTTTTACTCTTTGGAACTTTCTAAAGAAAATCAGAAATAAAATGTCATCATGATGCAATTTTCTATTTAATTTCTATTTCTAACAGGCATAATATAAAAAAACTTGTTGACACTAATTTTTTTAGCTTGTGTGAAATATTGCTTGAATAAACCTTTGATATAAATTTCATTAAAAAGGGACAGGAAATGTAGGTGTGAAGGCACTCACAATGCAATGTTCCATATCATTTACATTTCCAAGGGACACACACATATCTTGTAAAACAGGTTGATCTGCACTGATTCACAAACTTGTCCAGTCTTTTGATATAAGTATCATAAAAATCTACCCTTGAAATGAAGACATGAGAGCACTCACAATGCAATATGCCAATTAATCTATAATTCCAAGAGACATAACTCCAGTAAAAATAGTATTAACGAGATATGTATATTTGAGAGGGCAAACAATGCAATTTTTCAAAACGTTTACAACCAAGGGCATAACTACCTTAAAACTATTTGATCAGCACTGATTTTGTAATATTCCAAGATATTGACCTTACATATAAATTTCATAAAAATCTGACTTGCAAGTTCTCATATGACCAGATGGACAGACTGATGCATGCAGGAGCAGATGCCCAGTATTTCTATGTCCACAATAAATAACATATAATTTGAATGATTTTTTAGACCTCAAACTAAATTTGCATGTGTAGTAGGTATGAGGAGGGATTGAAACCCCTTTTCCACTTACAACTCAACCTGGAAAAGCCCTAATCATGAAAATGCCTCATTTACTCAGATGCCACTCGGACCCATTCATACATGTAACAACTTCATTGCCGCTAATGTACACCAGGCAAAAACATGATATTCAACAATTATAATACACTTATACAATACACTTATACAAAATGAATGGATGACAATAATTAAAATATTGAACAACTAATAATAACATTAATCATTTAGCATCACTGTTATCCCTTTTATGCAGTCCTAATTTTCTGGGCTTGGTAACAACATAAGCTGACTGTCTACCCAATCGGGTTCCTCAGGTCATAATCCACCCAGGAGGACAATAAACAAAGGTCTGTCCATAAACAACATATTCCTGTTAAAATGATAATCACAGACCAGATATCTGCACATAGAATCTCTCCCACAGAGTGGTAATTGTTGGAACAGAGTAATATAAGATATTCCTGTCCATAAACTATTCTGCATGTATTTATAATAAAATGATATTAGATATCAATATCCATCAACTATTCTGAATGTATGTATAATAAATTGATATTAGATATCAATATCCATCAACTATTCTGCATGTATTGATTATAAATTGATATTAGATATCTATATCCATAAACTGCATGTCCATGAGAAGTAATATTGATGATGGAAGTTTCTCTGGTGAAGGTGATAATACCGTTGCTGTCTGTTTATCTGGATCTATCCCTGATCTGTAAACAAAATAAACTCATAGTTATATCAGATTTTTTAAGTGATTTTTTTTTTTTAAAACACAAAACTTTCTAAACATAATAATTTGATTGCTTTATGGTTATGTATATCAAAAGTCTCTTACTTCCTTGAGGGATATCCAGTACAACCACATTTATAAAAGTCTGTCCAAAAACTACTTTAGATTTCTTACTAGTTTAAATATGTCTGCCTGTTGTTAAGTTAACCAAAGAACTAATTTTGAAAGTGATTGCCTGTTGTCAATCTAACTTTAAGACAAAATGTTTCTATTGACAGTAATAAAATTTACTGCAAAATCTTATTACAATTCATATAACTTCCTCTACTTTTGAACAATATTTTTTGTATTTATGATATTTCAATTCAAAGTTTTGAATTTCATATATAATCATTAAAAAGACACCTTTCCTTTATTTATGTATGCTTTGAGGCAATCCAAACCCTTAAGTTAAGAAAAGCAGATATCACCAAGAGATGTGATTTTTTCTGAGAAAAATGTGATGAAAATTTCATAAAATGGTCATTATGTGTAAGAATATATATGTCATAGGTTAAAATGAAGTTGATCAATGAAGAATGAAAAAATGCATCACACGATAGAGCATGTTCATTTAAAGACAGACTAACGATTAAAAAAATTAAAATATAAGCAGCTGCTCACTACTGATACCCTGCTATAAGTTTTTGGTAAACAAGAGGTTGAAAAGCAATGGATGTGAAACTGCATCACATGTTATAGCATGCTAACATGAATGTTGATTCCAAATTTCAGGGTGTTATGATTAGGTTTCGAGAAAAATGTGACGAAAAAATTCATAAATGGTCATTATGTGAAAGAATATATAAGAAATAGGTTTAAAGGAAGTTGATCAATGAGGAATAAGAAAAAGCATCACATGATATAGCCCGTTCATATGAAGCCTGATAACAAAATTCTTGTGGTTCCCAAGAAAAATGTTACCAAAATTTCATGAGACAGACAAGAGTATAACAGTATACCCCCTAGTACAGAGCGGGGTAAAATAACAAACAACAGTTAACTAAACACTACTCAGACAACTGCAGATTGGACAACACAACCTCAACCTGGGGGTCAAACAAGATGCTTCCAGAAAGGTAAGCAATTCCTGCTCTCCTAGTGGCCATTATTTTGCAAAAAGTAGAAATTTGAGGAAAAGAGGACAGGTATTGTTTCCACATATCCATTGTCATTGGTGACATAGATTTAAAATGTTTGAGAATACACAAGAACATGGCCATAGACATCACATTCTAACACTGTGTAGTTACATAGCTACATAGCTATAGACATCACATCCTTAACACTGTACTTACATAACAACATGGCCATAGACATTACACTCTAACACTGCATCTTCTATTGATTTAGCAGTACTGACACTAAACACATGGTGTAAAATATTAGTTCCTGAAAATATATAAAAAAAGCTTTACTTAGGAATCTTATACATACATTTTCTTTTTAAAATACAGGTTAGACTGGCCTACTATCCAGCTAGCATGTTGGTAAAATGAAAGATATCTTTTTATCCATTGATAAATCATAACATATCAACAAAAAGGAGTTTGTATCCATCTCTAGATCTCTATACACAACACTGACAAAATCATTGATATTATCTTAAAAGACACTGACACAATCATTGATATTATCTTAAAAGACACTTACAAAACATTTCTTCAATCACAGACTAATAAATCATATTGATACTTTCTACTTATGCTTAATTTTTAGAATGCTCACCACTTCCATTAATGTGCAAGATTTCAGTTTTGAAAACATTGGTAAATTCAGGCTAACTTTTGCCCATACTCCCTTTCAGGTAAAAATGAGCAAAAATTGGTTAAAATTTTTTTGAAAATGGTCCTATGAATCCTATTTTGCTGGACAACAAATAGAAATAAGTAATTTATTCTAATATGGCATAGACAAACATTGCCATTAAATTATCAATGAAATATTCATTTCTATAAAATATAAACCTGTGCTTTTTTTTGTTAAGTTGTTCTGTTATACCAAAGTTTTATTTAAGGGGGAGGTTTACCACTCACAAACATGTTAAAACACTGCCACATTCTATGTATGCCTGTTCAAAGTCAGAAGCCTGTAAAACTCAGTGGTTGTTGTTGGTCACTATCAGAAGCCTATAAAACTCAGTGGTTATTGTTGGTCACTGTCTATCATATTTGTTTTTCTTTTATTATTTTGTATAGAAATCAGGCCATTAGTTTTATCATTCAAATAGTTTTACATTTGGTCATTTTGGTTTTGCTGATTGTTGAAGGCTCTACAGTTACTTAAAGACGCTGAAGTCTACTTATTTGGTCTCGGGTGAATAATTGTCTCATTGGAAATCTTACCACATCTTTTTAATTTTATACTAATGAAGTCCGCTAAGAATAAGATACTATCAGAATATTTACCTGGTTGTAAAGGCACTAGCTTGGTTTTATTATCTTCTTTCTTCATTCCTAGAGGTAGCATGGAGTCTGGCAAGGCAGGTGCTAAAATATTGTCACAAAACACTCAAACTGCTCTTTTAAAGAACATTTTACATTCACTATTTTAAGGAATGGAATGTTACCTCCAAAAAGAATAAAAATTAATAAATATGCAATTTTTTTTAATTTTAGAAAAATGTACCGAGTATTCCTAAAAATTAAAAGAAATCTCTGTTTCTATGACAAAAGACTTGATGATTAAATTTATGATTTCTATGTGTTTTAATATATTGTTCAATAGAACCTTTTGAATTTCCATTGTGCATTTTAGAATCAGCAAAATTAGAATTATACCTTCTTTGTTCATGGCACAAGTTTTTCAACTTAAAATACTCTAGTGGAAATCTAAGCTAATTCTGATGTTTGCACCTGCACTTATAACACTGATGACTAGACCGGTGTTCTCCTAGAGCAGTTTAGTACTGACCAGTTGTAAAGTTTGATTTAATGAAAATAATTACAAGTTGGTCAGATTTTTAATGAACTGCTTGAGATAGAGGGAAATACTAACAGTCAAGTCACAGTAATTGTATGGAATGGTAAAAGGATTTCATCTTGCAGAGTATGAAATGCATCATATTTCATCGTCTTCAAACAATTAATGAATATTTAATAGTGTGTACAAATTATATAGATGTCATTTACATATCGTTCTCATGATAAGACACCAAAGAAAGGATGCAATAAACATGGACTCTAAAACAAAAGAGATATCATACCACTCAAATTATATAATTTAATATCATTACAGTTTTTTTTGTATGTGTAACAAATTACAAAATTAACATAGCTGACTTCTGTTGGACAATAAACAAACTGATATATTACCTCCTATTTTATATAATTTAATATCATTATAACTGACTTCTGTTTGACAATAAACTGTTGACACAGAGATCTGTCTCGCATGTTGGCAGAAAATTCACAAAAACACATTCTGATGGACAGCAACATTATTAATTTATTTTAGTAACTGGACCATATCCTGGAGGGTAGGGCCTCGAAAAAGTCATCAAACTGATATGTACTGATAGTAATGCAACGTTATAGAAAATATCATTTATCTATCACAAGTAGTTCATATCAAACTAACTTAAGCATAAAACTTAACATTGAAAATTGCTTATTGATTGAAAGTTGCTGGACCATGACCTAGGGGGCAGGGCCTGGTAATAATCGTCAGATGATCTGTACTGATAGTGATGCAAATTTATAGAAAATATCATTGATTTATCACAAGTAGTTTCTATCAAACTAACTTAAGCAGAAAAACTTAACATTGGAAATTGCTGATTAATTCAAAGTCACTGGACTATCCCCTAGGTGACATAGCCTTGAAATAGATGTCAAACTGGTATGTACTGATAGTAATGCAACTTTACAGAAAATATCACTGATCTATCACAAGTAGTTCCTAACAAATTAACTTTAGCAGAAAACTTAACAATTGTTGACGCCGAAATCGCCAGAAAGCAATACCTATATCTCACCTTCTGTGCCTTTGTTGCAGGCGAGACAATAAACAAACTGATATATTACCTCCAATTTTATATAATTTAATATCATTATAACTGACTTCTGTTGGATGAGGGAAGAATGAATCGTCTCCATTTTTCTTTGGTCCATAAAAATATTCCCGGACTCTTTGGTCTCTGGAATCACTTCTTTGGTGTTGATTTCTTTCCACAACCTGTAAAAAGTGTACAAATGATAATAATGTATAACATAAAACAATGCCTTCAAATTCTTCATTAATTTGCAAAACTATAATGTGCATTATTGTTTTTGATCACACAATTTCTTTGTAATGACACCTCTACTTCACTATCTATAAAATCTATTTATTTTGTTCACACTCTTTAGCTTTTAACTGTTTTATGCAAAAGATTCAAACCATAAATTTTTGTTTGTGCTATAAAATTTCCATTGCATTCTATAATATCCTTGTGAAAAAGAAAGCAAAATACTGCAAACTTTCATCTTAAATATTCAATTAGTACAAAACTGAACTTGTAAAAAACTGTTCGATTTTGGTATCAAATTATTACACATATTAGAATATTTACAACATCGCAGTAACATCCTGAGTTTTTATCTTTTAGTAACTTACACCACCAGATTTGGGTAAAAGAATAACATTAACAAAATCTGGCATATCTCTTTTCAGTTCACTGTATAACCTCTCCTGTCCCAACACCAGAATTACATCCACTGTAAAGAGAACAATATCAATTAGATTTGTACAACACCAGAATTACATCCACTGTAAAGAGAACAATATCAATTAGATTTGTACAACACCAGAATTACATCCACTGTAAAGAGAACAATATCAATTAGATTTGTACAACACCAGAATTACATCCACTGTAAAGAGAACAATATCAATTAGATTTGTACAACACCAGAATTACATCCACTGTAAAGAGAACAATATCAATTAGATTTGTACAACATCAGAATTACGGTAAAGAGAACAATATCAATTAGATTTGTACAACACCAGAATTACATCCACTGTAAAGAGAACAATATCAATTAGATTTGTACAACATCAGAATTACATCCACTGTAAAGAGAACAATATCAATTAGATTTGTACAACACCAGAATTACATCCACTGTAAAGAGAACAATATCAATTAGATTTGTACAAAAATAGTCTTCAAAAGAAATAGATGTGTGTTGATAATACTGAGGAAAGTTAAAAATCTTTCATCTACCAACCAAAGTAAGTTTCTTGAGTTATCTTCCAGAAACCAATTTTCTGCCCAAATTATATTCTATCGTTAGTATATGTGACCATGATCTTACCAGCCTTTCAGTCAAAAAAACTTTACTCAGTACTCGAGTCGACTTTTGCTTGAAACAGCAAATCCAGTATTTTGATTGGTTGATTTCTGAGTCTGAGTACGATAATTATGTTGAAAATATTTATGACTGTGAGTTCAGGTGTTGACCTAACTTACCTTTAAATGATCCAGCAATGTGTTTAAGTGATTTATGTGTATTTACCTACCTTCAAATGATCTGCAATGTCTTAAGTGATTTATGTGTATTTACTAACCTTCAAATGATTCAGCAATGTGTTTATGTGATATATATGTGTATTTACCTACCTTCAAATGATCCAGCAATGTGTTTAAGCGATTTATGTGTATTTACTTACCTTCAAATGATCAATCAATGTTTTTAAGTGATTTATGTGTATTTACTTACCTTCAAATGATCTAGCAATGTTTAAAGTGATTTATGTGTATTAACTTACCTTCAAATGATCCAGCAATGTGTTTAAGTGATTTATGTGTATTTACCCACCATCAAATGATCCAGCAATGTGTTTAAGTGATTTATGTGTATTTTCTTACCTTTGAATGATCCAGCAATGTGTTTAAGTGATTTATGTGTATTTACCCACCATCAAATGATACAGCAATGTGTTTAAGTGATTTATGTGTATTTTCTTACCTTTAAATGATCCAGCAATGTGTTTAAGTGATTTAAGTGTATTTACTTACCTTCAAATGATCCAGCAATGTGTTTAAGAGAATCATATCCTGCTCCTTTTATCCAACCTCCTGTGTTAATTATACAACCACTTACATTGCCTACAAAAAATAAACTCCTTCTGTTTAATTTTGTCAGTAATATGTAAAAATAATTATCAATATCCTTTGTACTTTGTTATTTAACATGGTGTAATGTCACAATTTAACTATCAAAGTAATTAATGATAAAAGAGGCTTTTCATAATTATTTAATCAAAGCGCTTATGAGCACTGAAGGGGAAAGATTGCCTTCCTTTGGCAATTTTGTGAATCTAAAATAAAACATTGAATTGTATTTAGCAACGGAAAATTATAACTTTGTGTTTGGAGTTATCTTCCTTTGTTCATGATTGTACATTTGTAGTTTTATAATTGCATAACAGATTCATACACAATGCATTACTTTTTTAAATTAAAATTTATTTTTTTTTAAATACGCATCATATTATAACTTTAATATCTTAGTATATAATATATCATTAATAAATTGCATGACATTGCTGCATTGACTGGATAGGATATAAAGAATGATCACTTCACTGTACTATTTTGTTTGAACTATTATTGCGAACCAAATGAAACTTTTCCACAGATTCATCTCCTATTGTTCTATCTGTTTAAACTTTTGTAAGTTCTTTTGTCCCATTCAATGAATACAATAGCTATTGTTCTCTGTGTAGTTTATTCACTGGGACCTTTAAATTTCTTCTAAGAGAAATCTATCACTCATTGATTAATTTACCTGAGTAAAAAAATAATCTTCTAAATAAACGAAAATACACATTTCAACTAAAAAAAATGCATGTGATGTTGTTTTATTCAATGTCAATAATATATTTTCAATCTGTGCGATATAAACACTGATTTAATGATAAAAAATTGATTTCTGACAAAACTTTCAACATTGTTCCTATTGAAATTTTTTTTTTTTGTGTGTTTGACAAATTATAACTGGATATTGAAGATGTTTAAATTAAGGTCTTCTTATATGTATTCTGCAACTAAACTAAAACAATAAAAAAAAATGCAATATTCAATAGGAACAATGCTAAAAGTTTTGTCAGAAATCAACCTTTTATGATTAAATCAGTGTTTAAATGGAATAGATTGAAAATATATTATTGACATTGAATAAAACAACATCACATGCATTTTTTTTAGTTGAAATATGTATTTTTTTTATTTATTTAGAAGATGATTTTTTTACTCAGGCATATTAATCAATGAGTGATAGATTTCTCTTAGAAGAAATTTAAAGGTCCCAGTGAATAAATTACACAGATCACAATAGCTATTGTATTTATTGAATGGGACAACAGAACTTACAAAAGTTGAAATCGACAGGTAACCTTCAAGTGAATCTGTGGAAAAGTTTCATATGGTTCCCAATAATGATAGTGATAAACCTTGGAAGATGTAGATATCAAGTCAGTATCATAAGTGTATTGATTGCATTTTATGCAATTTTTACCCATAAAAAGGACATTACTCTGGCCTACCTCTTTTTATCTTTATCAGTCTTAAAATAACAAATGGTATACCTAGCTCAAAGTACTTAAAGTGCTAAAACAGGACCCATGTCTTCTTACACTATAGGCATTTTTACTAAAATACTATATTTTTACCATATCAATAATGGAGTTGGGAAAGAAGTAAAGTTCCATGTATTCATTGGTTCTTCCACAAATTTGTTTTGTGTTGGTAGGCAAGAAATAGGCAAACGAAAATCAATCAAAGTGAAAATATATATTTTGTCAGTAGATACAATTTGGATAGTAAATTGTAATTGTTAAAGCAAAAAGTGGGTGATTTTGACCTACATCTTAATACATTCATTTCTCATTTATATCTTTTATGTTAAAGTCAAGATCAAGCAATAATTTGTTTTTGTTAACAAACATATCTTTGATAGCAACAAGGTCTATTACAAAAATGGGTCATCATTATAGGTATGTTTTGCATAAATGACATGTTAAGATTAAACTACTAGAAGCTCTAAAGAGCCTGTGTTGCTCCCTGCATCTTCAACAATGGCCTTTATTTGGTTAAAATCATCATGAAAGGACAATAACAATTTCAGTCATGTTAAAATATTGGTAGATCTTGTCCTGCTGATCATTTTTGCTTTTAAAAGTTTCTATCTGCATTTGTATCTATTATACTTTTCAAGATAATAGGCAAATACCAAAATCATCTTTAAAGGGCAATAACTCCATTAAGGAGTCGACTTCAGATTTTATCCATGATGGCTTATTTATATTTCTCATCTTGCTAATCAGTTTTGCCATTTAAAGTTTCTGTAAATCTTTTATAATTTCAAGTTAACAGGCAAAAGAGCAAAAAAAAAATGATAAAAATTTATCATTTAAGAGCAACAACTCCATAATAACAGTCCTCTGATGATTTCCGCCATTTCATTTTTTTGTAGATCTTGTCTTGTTGATCTTTTTTCTTTATATAAGTTTCTCTCTATCTATTATAGTTTTCAAAATAATAGACAATGTTTATTCTAATTTAAATTTTCGAATACAGGTACAAAATGTATCACTTACACTTTTTTGATTTTTCTGTTTTTTTATTAACACATTCAGCCATTCTTGATACCAACATTTTAAACAAGGGGTAATTGGATGATGGACTTGTATGACCATAATGAAAAACTAATGGAGCATTCAGACTATAGCCTTCTTCTATCTCTGCAGGTCTTTCTACGACTGCTGCACCTGTAATTACAGAAAAACTAATGGAGCATTTATACTATAGCCTTTTATCTCTGCAGGTCTTTCTACGACTGCTGCACCTGTAATTACAGAAAACTAATGAAGCATTTATACTACAGTATAGCCTTTTATCTCTGCAGGTCTTACTACAATGGCTGCACCTGTAATTACAGAAAACTAATGGAGCATTTATACTATAGCCTTTTATCTCTGCAGGTCTTTTACTACAACTGCTGCACCTGTAATTACAGAAAACTAATGTTGCATTCAGACCATGTCCTTCTTTTATCTGTTTGTCTGTCTATCATTGAAAATGTGACAAGTGACCCCTCATGCCTAACCTAGATAATAAGGATTTACATTTACACCCAAAATATGCCTACATTAGAGAGTTGACAAAATTGTCTAGATTTCAATCACATTCAGGCCTAGGAAACATGGAGCACAGGATTCGACAAACTAAATATTCAAGTCATATAGGTAGTTTCTTATACCAAAAAATGTAAAAAATCTTATTTGTTGATTAATGAGATATATTTTTCAGGTCATAAGAAACCAATGGAAATTTGCTTGTTTTCATTGAATTTCATGTAAAATCAAAATTTGTGGTATTTGTGACACAATGAAAAGAATTCTTATAAATAGCTTTTCATCAAAAAGACCTATTTCTATCTAATCATTGTTTTAGCTATGATTCATTGTGAAAATAACCAATAATCCTGAAATATTAGCTAGATAAAGGGGCCATATTAAGGGTCTTGTCAAACCTACTCCCAGTTTCTGGAACCTTGATCCTGAGGTTTACCTTACATGTCTATTTATCTGGTACAACATGACATAAGTAATAGTATGCTTTAATCAAAAAAACTAAAATGATGATTGAAAAAACAAATATTCATAGATTCTACACTGCATTGATTTGTGATGCAATATTTCTCCTTTAAACACTTTTTTTTAATTCAATTAAATTATCTCTATTGCACAATCGGCTGTATAATAATATTCTTATCTTACAGTGATACCCAAAGTATATTAACATCATTGATACTGTGGGTGTCTCTGTAAGAATATTATTATACAGCCGATTGTGCAATAGAGATAATTTAATTGAGTTTTAAAAAAAAAAAGTCACTGATGTTAAAGGAGTAGGGACAATAAGGCCCTTATTTGGCCCAAATATTAGTGCAAATTGAAAAGTTACCATACATACTCTTAAATTTGTCTGAACTACACTAAGGTACAAGGTGTTCAGAAATTAAAAACAAATTTCACATTTAATGAGTTACCTTGGCAACACACCATGACTAAATTTGTATATTATGGTAAAATTTCTTGATTTTCCTTGTTTTACATTAATATTTAAGTATATATTGGATTGGAAAAGCATGTGTGCACGTCAGAAACAACTTTATATTTGGTAAGATTATGTTATAATAAAGCTGCTCTTAAATTATATAACTGTTTCTCAGCTGCGCATGAAGTTTCCTCAAAAGAAATAATGATGGAAAACTGCATAAATTCTGCAGTTTTCTTCGTTTTCATGAAAACGGTGCATATAATGACGTAATTGTGACGTCATAACATAAAAAATCTTATATTATCATTTATATTTCTTTATTTTATGCATTTCCAAACATTAGGTGTAAATTCGAAATAGTTCTCACAAACTTTATTTTCTTAAGGCCAAAATCAGGCCTAAAGCCCCTCTTCCTGTATAAATTGAAAATGATTTACTAAGCTTGCAAAGCATTTTAAAAACCTAAAATTTAAATTTGGGGAGTGGAAAAATATAATATCACATGAAATATGTTTAGTATTTTGTTTACACAATCTATTTCCAAAATGAATTTTAGTTGATATGTCTGCAAATGTTATCTTTCTCCTTCAAGGCAAACATATTGTGTTCTTTCTATCTGATGTCAACAGGCATGGTTGCATTTTTCCTGAAATCAGAGGAAAGCAGGAAGATTTTGTGTCATAATTAAATTTTTATCAATGTAGAACTGAAATAAAGCTAACCACATGTTTATTAAAAAGATGAGCAACCGTTCATGGAAACCAGCTAGTTAGGGAAAGAGTTATAATATTCTTCATTGTACACTTCTCTATTATCAATGACATACCTATGGTTCCTGGAATGGACACTTCTCCCTACAAAACAAACAGAACTCATAAAAAAAAACTCAATTTGTAAAAAAATGGTCCATTATAAATTTCTGTATGAAAAAACATTTCTTTCTTTAATAAATGCACTGTCATGTTATCAATGGCTTCTATTATAACTTGGGGGCCTCGGTGGCCAAGTGGTCTAAGTAGTTCTACTACTATAATCAATAGCCAGTCAACACTGAGGTTGTGAGTTCGAACCCTGCTCGTGCGGGTGCACTCGACTCCAATCTTAATTGACTAGGATTGTCAATTTTCCTATCGAAGATTGGTGGTTTTCTGCGGGCACTCCGGCTTCCTCCACCAATAAAAACTGGCCGCCACCAAGTAGCCCAAATGTGGCGCTTAAAAGTGGCGTTAAAACACCAACAATCAATCAATCATCTATTATAACTTGACCAATGTCACCGTGATTGGTTTGAAAAAAAAAACAAATTGCCTGTCAAACGCACTATTAATTCAGATGTTTATTTGTGAATATAAACAGAATGGCTCATTTCTAGGAAGTACACCACTAATTTTACGCCCCATTGCTTTCTATGTCAAATTCCTCAATTTCAAGCAGGCACAGCTCTTTTGTCTTAATTTCAAATAAAGTGACAATCATTGCATGTCAAAGCAACACCTTATGATGTATTGTACAGAAAAAATCAACATACCTTTAATGGCATATAAGAGAGAACTAGTTCCCGGAACTTCGGATTACCTAAACAGGTACTTCAGATCTGACAAACAGGCAAAATGTACCCTCCTTTTTAAATTTCATGCAATTTTTTTATTATTCAAAATTATAAGTCAAAAAGCATTCTACAATGATCACCAGTCATTCAGCTTTCATTTGATACCAAAATTAACAAAATGTTCTACATAGTTTGAAAGTTACACTCATGCGTAGGAGCTATTTTGTGTTAAATATGTACTACTTTCTGGTATGTGCTTTCTAACCGGGCCCGAATTAGTGATGTTACACCTATAACATAACCAAACTTGCTATATTGACTTCTGCATTACTTAAATTCATTTAATGATCTATTTCAAGCAATAAAAAACCTATAAAGCTTTAGTCCAAACACCATTTTACTGATTTTAAGCTCAAATTAGACTGGTAGTATTATATGGGTTCTGCAAAGAAAACTGCATATGGATATTACCAATGGCTAATATGTGATTTTTCATTTTCAATATCATGGTTCTTATTTGTTTATTTCTACTAGGAAAATAATTTTCTTACCATTAGTCATGTGTATATCAGGGATTGTTCATTAAATAAAAATATATTAGTCCAAACCTAAGACATAATTGAGAATATTGTCCCCCCTTTTTTCATCAAATTGGAAAAGGGACATTTTTGGTATAAACCATACTTCTGTGGTATAAAATATATTATTAAGAGCAATTTATATATCCCTCAGCTGGATAACTTGCTAAACTTGTTCAAAATTGCATATAAAGTGAGATTTTGGAATTCTTATATGAGTATATACCAATTGCCTAAATTGTAAAAGGCTACCATAAGAAAACCAATAAAACTTGAAAAATCATAGAATTATTTGACCAAAAGCTATTTTTTTTTACAATAAACAAGTCATATTATACATGTTTCATTGATTTCAATCCAAAATAATGCAAAAATAGGAACTTCAGGTCAAGTCTTAACTGCAAGGAAATTTTCTTTCTCAAACTTTTAAAAATTTATCTCCTATCTAATTATGTTATTTCTCCCCTTCTATATTAGCATATTGTAGTTAATTTCATCCAATGTATAGATGGTCTCTATCGTATAATCTTAGAAGTCAAATAGTTGTGCAAATGATAACCTGTACTTTACAAAAGTTATACAATGTTTACCTGTCCAACATCTAAATCAACATAAACAGATGCCCTATCAAGTCGTGCTGCATAATTCAACAACAGACGACATAAAGTACTCTTTCCAACATCGGTAGGACCAACAACCATTACCTACAAATAATCAAAATCATTGATCAAAATATGATGTCACCTGATTGATGATCATTTTGCATGGTCTTTTTGTTTGATTACAAATTTGAGATTCTTTGAACAAATATTGTGTTTGTAGTGCACACTGGAAGTTATTTATTTGACTTATATTCAAAGGGACTCAAAATTAGAGTAAAAGTAATTTTATAAACAACATTCATTCTTGTGTCAGTATCTGATAGTATATTGAACAGATATATCATGTTAAGGAGGGGTATTTGCGAAAAATACCAGTCGAGAGAATGTTAAATTTCGCGAGCCTTAAGGCGAGGGAAATTCATTCTCAAGACTGGTATTTTTCGCAAATACCCCTTAAGAACATGCTATATCTGTTTAATTACACCGAATGTTAACGTTCAAAAACGCAGTGATGATCGTGACGTTACAAGCGTCCAGTGGGATAGAGTATTTTTTGGCAAATACCATGGCAGAGAGGGTAAAAAAGGCATATCCTTTTTGCATATACCCCGGCGGCGTTAAAAAATGAACGATATTCATTTGATAACAGTAAATTGGTGAAAAATACACTGGCTATCAACCAATCAAAACCCAGGATTCTTACATAAGGTGTAATTATGTTAATAAAATTCCCTTTACTGAACAACTGGTCCATTTCTGAATTCTAAGAATTTATACTACTATGCTGTATTCTAGAAATAGCCACCCTGATGGTTTAATCACTATGAATTTGGAATCATATTTTAAGTAGAACCTCTAAGGAGGAGCAGGCTAACTTTGTTTTCATTTCACTAAGCAGTTTTAGAGGAGAAATTTTGGAAAAAGAGAAAATGTTTTACAAAGTTTACACAAGACATTGGACAAAAGACGTGTCCAGTGATGGATAAACCTCACACTAGTCCTTTGGACAGGTGAGCTAAAATAGTAGGAATTTAAAAGAAATTTTGGTACTTTCAAATAAATTTATTTTTCTGAATCTTCATCAATTGACCATGACAAATTATATATTATTGATAGAATGTCAATAAAACATATCATAATGAATATTTCATTTAATAAAAATTTTTGAGGCTTAGGCCAACTTTTTGGCTGGACTATTTTCCCTAGCACATGCACATTATCAGGTCATAAACAATCACTTTCCATGCAGAATAACAGGGCTATTGACCCTGGTTCACTTTACAGTGAGGTCAAAGTAAGAAAATTTCTGTAAAAAAAGGACATTTAACTATTGAAGTAGGACCTGCCAACAGTTTCAAAACACCTGTACATTTGTTCTTTTCCCGATTGCAATTTCTGTATTGTTTTGTTTTTGTTTTGTTTATTTTCTTGCCTTATGCTTGTTTCTTTTGAGAATGTTCTCAGTGTTTGGTATATACAATTATAAAAATTTCAATGGAGAATTATGAAAGTTAAAAAAACTATACTTTATTCTAGCCGGTGTTCTTTATATGATAGTAAATACCTACTCTTGGTCCTCTTGATCTTTCTTCTTCTGCTTTTTGTCTCATTTGTTCAAGTGCTGCATGGACATTCACATAAACTGTCATTGGAGTGCCTTCAGCAATGTATGCAACTTCTGTTCTACCTTCTAAATACATAGCTGTTAAGGTCAAATTGTGTTTTTATGCCTGTTTTAAATTTTAGTTGTGATCCTTTTAAGATTTTCTAAGTTAGCTGACCTATGCTGGTAACAATTTATAAATTTCATACTTTGGGGTGAATTTTCCATACAGAATACAGGTGGGTATTGACCCTAGTTCACTTTACAAGGAGGTCAAAATACCATATGACACCGGCAATCAATTCTATTGTATTTTAATTATCAACAATAATTCAGTGAAAAATACCCTGAACAATTATTTATATGTACTTTGGTTCCACTGTAAAGAACAATAGAGAACACTATATTAAAACTGTCTTTATACTGTGCACTGTGTGGGAACCTCAAGTAAGAAAAGTTTTAATACTGCTGTATGTATGAAAACCACAAAGAAAAATGATATTTCATACCCAACCTTAGCAAGAGCTTGTATTTCCTTATCATGATTTCCTTGATAGAGGGTTGCTGCTTATAAGGAAGCTACTGACCCAAGAGTTCCTATTGGTAAAGTTGAAGTCATCCCTTCAGAAGTTAAACAGAAGCCTTAATGATATGGTTGATCGTTATGGAAAGGTGTGTTACAAATGACCATGATTTATTTCAACTCTACCTTGTTCTGTATGTTCCTGTCCTAAGTCAGGAGCCTGTAATTGTAGTTGGTTTGCAGTTGGTTGCAGTCTATCATATGTGTTTGTAAATTTTTTGTTTTGTACATCAATTAGGCCATTGATTGTCTTATTTGAATTGTTTTACATTCTGGTCTCCAGTGGAGACTCCGAGAGTTGTCTCATAAGAAATCATACCACATCTCCTTATTCTTGTATGAATATGTTCTATTTGTTGTAGCTATACTCCTGTCATCTTTTCCTTTATTATGACATGGATGCTACTTATCTCCACTTTTTTACTTGCCAGGAGTAACATGAATGATGTGATTAGAGGAGCAGGATCTGCCTACCATTTTAGAACACCTGACATCACCACAAGTTTTTGGTTGGATCTATGTTCAGTCTTTAGTTTTTGGTATTGTTTTGTATATTTTTGTTTGTCTTTTTGGCATAGTTTGTTTTTCTTCGACTTATAATTTTAGATACAATATCTTATTTCACAAGGAAATAAAATGCTGCAAATACATTGTTATGAAATATCTAATCAGTTAAATAACATTTTTTCTTTAGGTATCATTTCAAAAACAATAAATAAAGTTTACAAAGTTAATTTCCTGTGTAATTTTGTTGTATAATTAGAGAATTCCTACCAAAGTTAATTTCCTGTGTAAGTTTGGTTGCATAATTAGAGAATTCCTACCAAAGTTGATTTTCCGTGCAAGTTTTGTTGTATAATTAGAGAATTCCTACCAAAGTTAATTTCCTGTGTAAGTTTTGTTGTATATACCTAGAGAATTTCTACCCAAGTTAATTCTGCGTAAGTTTTGTTTTAGAGAATTTCTACCAAAGTTAATTCTCAGTGTAAGTTTTGTTTTAGAGAATTTCTACCCAAGTTAATTCTAAGTGTAAGTTTTGTTTTAGAGAATTTCTACCAAAGTTAATTCTCAGTGTAAGTTTTGTTTTAGAGAATTTCTACCAAAGTTAATTCTCAGTCTAAGTTTTGTTTTAGAGAATTTCTACCAAAGTTAATTCTCAATGTAAGTTTTGTTTTAGAGAATTTCTACCAAAGTTAATTCTCAGTGTAAGTTTTGTTTTAGAGAATTTCTACCAAAGTTAATTCTGCGTAAGTTTTGTTTTAGAGAATTTCTACCCAAGTTAATTCTCAGTGTAAGTTTTGTTTTAGAGAATTTCTACCCAAGTTAATTCTCAGTGTAAGTTTTGTTTTAGAGAATTTCTACCAAAGTTAATTCTCAGTGTAAGTTTTGTTTCCAGAGAATTTCTACCAAAGTTAATTCTCAGTGTAAGTTTTGTTTTAGAGAATTTCTACCAAAGTTAATTCTCAATGTAAGTTTTGTTTTAGAGAATTTCTACCAAAGTTAATTCTCAGTGTAAGTTTTGTTTTAGAGAAATTCTACCCAAGTTAATTCTGCGTAAGTTTTGTTTTAGAGAATTTCTACCAAAGTTAATTCTCGGTGTAAGTTTTGTTATAGAGAATTTCTACCAGTGATAATTTTCAGGTTATCCTCTGACAATATAAGGCTGTCTGGAAAAATATAAACAATTAAAAATAACTACATATGGATCTCAATGTTGCCTACATTGCATCGTTCGTTTACTTTGTTTACTTATTATGTTCTGATAATATATTTTTAATATATACACATATATATATTTCTTCTGTAGCTTTACACAAAGGATATTTTAACAACACATCCATGCCATGTATATACAGCTACTTTGGAACAAGATTCAAATAAATATTTCTTTCCTTTTGTCAGCTCTGTACCAAATATTTCTGCCATTCCATCAAGAAGCTAGAAAATAAAAGTGAAGTCAACATTAAAACAAAGTGTATAACTCTATAATTAAAGCATTAGCTTTCTAGTTATCTCCTGTATATTAAGTTGTTTTGTTTTCAAAATATATATATATATAACACTTAAGCTCTCTGCTGTTGTTGTCACAATATATATATAACACTCAAGCAATCTGCTGTTGTTATCACATATTCAACACTAAAGCTCTCTGCTGTTGTCACAGTATATATTTAACACTAAAGCTCTATGTTGTTGCTATCACAATACAGTATACATTGAACTCTTTAGCTTCATGTTGTTATTATAGTAATACATTTATCTTTAAAGTTATGCACTGTTATTACTATAAATGTACCTCTAAAGCTTGCAAAGTTCTACCCAGGACACATTTTTCATATTTCACACATTATTTTTCAATATTAAGCATGAAAATTAAGTAACTGTGTTATATTCAAGCGTACATTTTGTTGTCAAAATAACCATAACATTAATAGCTCTTGCAAATTTCCATAGAATTTTAATTCTCCAAATTATACGCAGGCAATAAATGTACTTCTAAAGCTCATGGATGTTATTGTAATGTATGACCTATAAACTTTGGTTTTTTAAAGGAATATATGTACGTTACTTTGAAACTGTACTGTTGTTATCGCATCTTTCAAAATTTGTTGTTTTGTTTTTTATAATATTCATGTCCCTAAACCTATATATACATATATAGCTAAATATTGTTGTTGTTATTGCAAGATATTTTATGACAGTTTGAATACCTCTAAAGTAGCTGTAGCTCTGGCTTCTACTTCAAATCTAAGCTCCTGATCTTTTTCTAACCTATATTCCTCCTGGAATAAATCAAATTTTCATCATTACTCACCCTTCAAACCATAACATTTTGTCTTTTCTTACACAATACTAGTACTGCTCCACAAAGATATAACAAAATTAACAACATGTGCCCAAAGGACACCATACCGTGCTTGCACTATCAAAATTTCAATGTCAAGTGAACCACAAAAAAAATTTATTGAACATGTGTGCTATGCTTCAAGTTGATGTGAACATGCCTGAGAATGTAAAGATTTCACACAATCACATTGCCATGTTCAGTGAACCAATCAGGATCAAAGTAGTATAGTATTGACTTATTATAAGAATCGAAATAGACATATTCACACTTGTATCCAAATTTGTCATCCTTTATTTAAAGTTACTGGCTACGATGACATTAAAAACGTAACAATAAAAAAAAATTATTGTTAGGTTTAAGACTAATGCAGAAATGCAGGTAGGGTTTGGAACTGATTAATTACAGATGTAATAATCATATTTGTGTCTACGTATAGCGTTACACAGTGTTATTGTTACGTCAATGCATTTCGATATATGTAATATATTGAGTCTTATGTAGATGAAACGTGTATCTGGGGTACAAAATTTTAAGCATGGTATCTATAATGAGTTTATATATCTAAGACCCCGTTCACACTAGGACATTTAGATTGATTTAAACTAGATCGGTTCAATTTAGATCGGTTTGAGGGCTAATGTGAACGCGTTGAATCGATCTTCAATCGGTCTAAACTAAAACACCAAAAGAGGTAGTTTAGTTTGAATCGATCTAACGTGAACCGATCTAACTTTAAATGTGAACGCAAAGATCGGTTTAAACTAGTACGATTTAATCGAAAGTAATTTATGCGCATGTATAGCGACAAAACTATAAGACGATGAGTGCAATAACATAACATCACTGTATATATCGGTGGTTCGTTGTTTAACCAATATTTTTCTGTGTGTAGGTACATGCAAGTAAAAAAAAAATGGAAAAAAGTTGTCTTCGCCGTACAAAAATTTGTGTGTCTTCTTTTCTTCTGTTGTTTTTGTTTATGTTGTAACTGGCTTCCTTGCTACCGTTTTTTTTGTTTCAAAATTAATGAAAACTACAACACCACCAGTATCAAAATTTGAACTTGTGATTCAAGAGAAACAATAACTTCTTCCATTTTTTTAGTGTGTGTATCTGTGTACCAACACATAAATTTGATTAATTATTTCTATTTATACACATTGTTTGCAGTTTTATGGGTAATTAGGTCAGATCGATTGCATTTTTAATTGTAGTGTGAACGCAGTTGTTCAGATTAGACCGATAGAGATCGTTATGATTAAAGATAATGTGAACGCTAAATGGTTTTATTTAGATCGATTCAAATTAGATCGATTTAAAAAAATGCTAGTGTGAATGGGGTCTAATTACAAATTGAAAGCCCTTCTATTATAAATAAATAACAAAAGTATTCAATAAAAAATTATTGCATATACAAATTGTATATAACATATAGTTTATTAAGAATGGCAACTTCTGCACATCTAGTGTGTGCTTTTGGGGGTATGTTAAAGGCAGACAAATTTTTGGTGGAACTACTCAAGGCAGTCATCACATACAAAGTGCTCGACCGTTTTGCACATCAAACTATATTACTATAAACAATATCGGGAAAGAACATGCCTGGGAACTTGAAGAGGGTGTCACTTCACCAACTCATCAATATATATATATACTGATAATATAATAGATGGCTAATAAATTGCTACTGTGATAAATAGATTAGGAAACAATGAGATAAAGACTTCAGTCTCACCACATGAATTCATATATTAATATATATACATTGTATAAGATTCATATAGATATTATGACCCATTGATATTTACATAAGGAAAAAAAACAACATATCTTTGGTTTGGACACGCTGCATCCGATTCTGGAATGTAATGGATACACAATATTTTAGTTCACTGCTGAGATCACAACTGTCAAACTTTACTTTTAATGCATCAATTTTTCACAAACTTTTATACAACTTAAAAAATTTGAATCTTATAATTTTTGGAGTTTTAAGTCAAAGGCATCCAAAGTTTGAAATTTTTCAACCCAAAAAAATTGGTAATGGTAATAACTTCTTCCTTTGCTCAAAGTATAAGTATAAGTGACAGTAACAAGGGTAAGCATGCAATTAAATACATTACATAGAATTGGTCATGAACTACATTCTAAGCTGTTAGCACTACTAACTAATGTTGAAGCCTTTTATAGCCTACATATGTATTTTACAGAATGAGTTTTCCTCATTGTTGAAGGACGTAAGGTTGCCTATAATTGCTTATATCCACTTCATTTGAACTTTGGTGGATAGTTGTTTCATTGGCAATCATACCACATCTCCTTATTCTTAAAAAGTATTATCTTGAAGAAAATTAAAACAATTTATAACAAAGACTATTTAAAATAAAGGTAGATTACCTGTATATTGTAAAATAGCAGTTCTCAATCGGTATAGTTCTTTGCTTAAAAAGGCAAATTTTGAGACAGATTGGCAATTAATGTGTAAGACTGTTTATTTGAAAAATTTGTAAGGGTTCCGCGGAACCCAGTGTCTCGCCTACGTTTGCTGTTGTCTATGTTTTCAGTGTGATAGGGGAATGCACATACATTTGTAATACATTTACAGTAAAAGAAATAAAATGTTGGAAATGTATGAAAAAAGTTATGCTTGTAAAAAATGAATACAGTATGCAATCAAATCTATAGATTTATAAAAGAGTTGAAACATAAATTTATTGAATGAACAAATGATAAAGAAGATAATTTTTACATTGCTTGATGATTTATCCCTTAATTCATCAATAATAAAATGCTTCGCTGAGCGCAGCTGGATACGACAGCAGAGGTCCAACCCTGAACAGTTGAGGCGAAAATGGACACAATATTGCGCTTGATACAGGTCTGAATTTGGATTGTAATTAAATATTTCTCACATATAGGTTTCTGACACCAAATAACTGTAGTCAAAGAACACAGAATTGGTTATATGATTTGAATTTATATTCACTTTTTTGCTTTTATGCAATACACTATGCTGTTGGGAATTGATCCCCCCACCCCACCCCCCCCCCCCCCCTAAACATAAACAAAAAAAATATTTCAAGAAATTTTCTTTTTAATTTCTGAAATCTGAAATGAAAAAAAAAATTGCCCCTCACAATTTCTTTTTTATCCCCCCCCTTTTTCCAAAAAAAAAATTCTTTCCCTCAAGATATGGTCATAATCTCAATTCAAATTTCCAATGGAATTTGCAACCATAATTACCAATTTAAATACATCATAAAAGTCTTAAATAGATAATTTAAAAGCAGTGTAAGGGAGGTAATCCAACATTGTACAACATTGTACAATTTTGTTTTTGGACTACCTCCTTTACACTGCTTTTAAATTGTCCATTAACCAGGAAACCCTTGTTTTTTCCCCTTTTTTGCCCCTAATTCCTAAATGGTTTGAGCCATAACCCTCAAAAGCCAATCCTAACCATCCCTTTGTATTATGGTAACTTGTGGTATAATTTCAGAGAGATCCATACACTTAAACACAAGTTATTGTCTGGAAGTTACAAAAATGCTTATTTTTGACCCCTTTTTGGCCCCTAATTCCTAACTGTTGGTACCATAACCCCCAAAATCAATCCCAACCTTCCTTTTGTGGTATTGAACCCTATGATAAAATTTAATAGAGATCCATTCACTTAAACTAAAGTTATTGTGCGAAAACCAATGTGTCTTCGGACAACAACGACGCCAACGTCATACCAATATACGACCGCAAAATTTTTTTGTGGTCGTATAAAAATGCATGTAAACAGAAGATGCAATTATAAAATTTTGTTCAAAATAATTGATGCAACTAAAAAAGAAGAATATATGTGCAAATAAGAAAATTGTGTGTTATAGGAAATATGGGAAGCATTTTTTTCCTCATAAACAACACTTTCAATGATTAGAGTCAATTTAAAAATAAAATGATTAACGGCCAGGTGACATAAATATGAATATAAAAATGTATTATCGCAGGTGTTATCTATCAGGAATTGAGTTGTTCTAAATGAAAGTAGTAAAGAATTTGTGGATGGTTTATGAATCTAATAAATGTTTTAAAAACTTTAACTGCAGACAGTATGTAATGTTAACTGGAAGAAAAACTAAGTCCATTTATAAGTAATATATGGAAAAACAGGAAATAAATTTATTCTAGATACTAGCTTTTGATCATAAACAAGCTTCTGTCCAAGTTTGGTAGAAATCCAGGATAGTTTAAGAAAGTTATTAAAATTTTCAAAACTTTAACCACAGAGTGAATGTAATGTTAACTGGCAGAAAAACTAAATCCATTTATAAGTAAAATATGGATAAACAGGATTTTTTTTTACAAAATTTACTTCTGGCAGAAAAACTAAGGCCTAAAATAAAATATGGTTTGTTTCCCCAACCCGACCGACCCTGCAAAAATGGTCCTATTCATAAAATTTTATTGTCAAAACTTGGTCAAATATTTTATTCATTTCCGATTTTCAGGCTTGCCGGTTCATCCGAAAATGTTCAAGCTTTTTGGAAAAATAAAATTATTTCTCTACCTACCTACCTACCCACACCTGCTTGGCAGGGTCGGGATTGGGGAAACAAACAATATATTAATTTAGGCCTAAGTCCATTTAAAAGTAAAATACGGATAAACAGGATTTTCTTTTTACAAAATTTACTTCTGGATACTATCTTATGATAATAAACAAGCTTCTGTCCAAGTTTGGTAGAAATCCAGGATAGTTTAAGAAAGTTATTAAAATTTCAAAAACTTTAACCAGAGTGAATATTTGTGGACGCAGCCAACGACGATGCCGACCACGGATCTCTATGTCTCACTTTTGCGACAAAAGTTGCAGGCTCGACAAAAATGAAACAGATGTGATTTATTGAATATTTAGACTGTTTTGACAAATACCAAATCAATTTTTCAACTCAGCTATTTATGGGGAGATAACTCTGAACAGTAAAATTTTTACAAAGAATGTTAAGAAAATTTCCATTTATTTACTTGCTGCAAGAAAAAAGTTTGGTTACACCATTTTATTTTTTTTTTCTTAATGCAAATATTAAAAAACCTATCTTCTCATATTTTCTTTCAAAATTATATCTTGTAGATTTCATTTTATTCAAGATTTTTTTTGATGCACAACTTCCAGCTTGAAAAATAGCATGGTGACCCATTCTTCTTTTAAGAAAATGAATAAAACAAAAACAAAAAATATAAAAATCAACACATTCAGTGGTGTCAGTAAGTTTTGGAATAGGTGGCCGAACAAAAATTAAATCTAGATTGCAGGAGTTGGCCTCAGATCTGTTCTAAACAGATTTTGACCTCTAATCCATGTTTTAAATTTGCACATTTTTTGGAGCTGATTTTACTTTAATTTAAGAATTAAATTTAATTTTTTGTAGATGCACATGACATAATGGCTTGCAATGCATGTTTAAATAATTTTGTGTTTTGCTATTCTATATCAAAGCTAATGTTAGTGTGCTTTTGTCATCACTTCATATTCACCTTTGAGTTCTTAATTGCCCTCTGCCTACTGCTAGCAGGCTTGTAGTGTTTATAAACCTATATATTGTGAACTAATATGCAATATGCACTGCTATGTAACATAAAAGCAAGATGAGTGGAGTGGTATGGTTATTCAGCATTTTAATGAAGAAATGAAATAACTGAAAATTGATTACTAATGAACTCAAAATCGTTATTTTTTTTTCTTCTAACAGTTGCACTTGCACTTTACGCTGTTCCTGTTCTGTTGGCAATAATATGAGTTTGAATATTTTGAATTTAGTCTGTTTGTCTACGTAATAAAATGAATTTAGTGCTATTCAACATATGATTTTGAAGTAATTGATAGCAAACAAAATGAGTTGAGAAACTCACCTCATCAGGCAGATTGTTGTATCCTTATCTGATGTACGTAAAATGATAATAAGCTGATGTGGTATTTTCGTCTTTTAAGGTATAAATTATTATACTTTTAATTAAATGTAACTTTATCAGTCAGGGGAATTACTAAAATGAGTGATTTCTTAAACACTGATTCAAGTAAGTAACATTTTGCTAATTTTACTAATAATTATATATAATCTAAACCTGTATGTTTAAAATTTTGGTAAAACTACAAAACGACAGAATATCTAATTTGCTACTTAAATGAGTGATTTATAAATCACTCATTTCAGTAATTCCCCTGACTGTTTATTATGAAAAAAAAACGTAAACTGAAGCAGATAGCTTTCTTTCATTACATTGAAAATGAAGTCATAAAAAAAATTCCTAACAACAGGACCAACATCAGACACGTTTTCGTATTTCAGATACCTTTTCAACAGCAGTTATTCTGGGAATAAATATATTGTTTTTCAATAATAAAGTCTTAATTTTGCAAAAACGTTTAAAATCAAAAGAATTATTTTTAGGGACTTTGTCCTCTTTCACAGGTAACACCTGCCTCGTATCATTGTTATGTCTGTAATCAGTTGGTTCCTTACCCGCATCCGGCCAATAACTATGTTTAGACTTAAACATACAATTAGTAACAATAATTTTTCGTTATTGTAATATTTTCAACATAATCGTAGCCAGTGCCTTACTTAAAACCACTCAAATTCCCGCAAAATATTCTATCACAATTTAAAACATTTGACATGATATGGAGACAGACCTAGGGTCATTCAGAGACAATAGACCTTATCGCTATTTGGGAGTTTGCAACACTTGACCTGAGAATCTGCGACACTTGAATAATTGACGTCATACAACAATCACTTTTCGTTTGTGGCGTCAGACATTTTCTATTGTGACGTCAAAATTTTACAGGCACCTTCATCATGTCCAGTAATGGCAGATAAATAGCGATAAGTATATTCAACTAAATACCCAAAATATAACAAAATTAAGTCCATCATTTCAGTAATTCAATTTAAAAAAAAAAAAATTACATTAAAACAGCTACTCATACAGACTGCGTTCTCTTTCACAGATAACACCTGTCTCATATTAAGGAACATCCACGAAAATTATGTATATCACAGAAAAAATGTTCCTGTTCTGTTAAAATGATTCATTAAAACAAGCATTCTGAAAGTATTGCATGGCTACAGGTTAAAAATTAATTGTACTGGAACAAAATGCTAACTTGATCTATAACTGGTCATGGTGATAACTATTGATTATATATTGCACAATCATATTTTAGAAGCAGTAAAAGATAGTAAATATTTAGGCGTAACTATAAGCCATGATCTTGATTGGGGAACACATATAAACAATATTACCTGTAAGGCAAATAAAACCTTAGGTTTTCTTCGTAGGAACTTAAAAAACTGCACACGTAAGGTTAAAAACCTTACGTACACATCACTTGTCCGTCCAGTCGTCGAATACTCTTCCCCTGTATGGGATCCGTACAAAAAGCAACACATCACTCAGGTTGAGCAGGTACAGCGTAAGGCAGCCAGGTTTGTCTTCAATGATTATAAAGACAGATCACCTGGAGCAGTTTCAAATTTAATTAAATCATTGGAATGGGAAAATTTAGAAATAAGAAGGAAAAAAGCTAGATTAACTATGCTATATAAAATAAATTGGGGGTTAGTGGAAGTTCCTAAGGACAATTTAACAATATCTGATAGACGTACTAGGGGGAAACATAAATTTAGGTAAATATCTACAAATAAAGATTTCTATAAATTTTTTTTTTATCCTCGCACTATTTCGGACTGGAACTCACTACCTGAAGCAATAGGTATGTCTGACACCCTGGTATCCTTCAAAAGTGGCATATCCACTCTAACATTTGAAGGAGCCACAACAACTTATTAAACTACAAAGCCACTGTACATAATGTATATATGTTATTGTTAATGATTTTTCTTTGTCATATTATTTTTAAATTAAGTCCATATGTACATAGCACACAAGTTCCGGGAAGTTTTACACTAGTTTTACACTCCTACCTAGGAGTCTACTCTCGTATTTTGGAAGAAGAAGAAGAAGAAGAAGAAGAAGAAGAAGAAGAAGAAGAAGAAGAAGAAGAAGAAGAAGAAGAAGAAGAAGAAGAAGTGACGAAAAAAAGTGCGGAAAACTGATAATTTAAGTGAATTTTCTAAGTCCAAGGACCATAACTCTGCACAAAATTATCATACTGGAACAAAATTCGAACTTGATCTGTAACTTGTTTTGATAAAACAATATACCAAATATCAAATCAATATCTTCAAGCATGAAGAAAAAAAGTGTGGAAAACTGATTTGCTGGACTGACAGAAGGACAGAAAGACGGACAGACAGACAGACGGACGGAGTGCAAACCTAAAGACCCCTTCGACTTCGTCGGTAGGGGACTAATAAGCTATGTTCTCTAAAGCCATACAATGTACAAAACATTGTATATTGAATACCTCTTTCTTTTCTTCAGACATGTTTTATTCCTGTATCGATGATCAGCAAAACTTCTTCGGCCAAATATTTGTGTCAACAAAATTTAAATTCTGTACATGGGGGCTGCCATTTTGAAAACTACTCTTTAAACAATTGCAAACTTTCATGGTAAACATTTTTTATTCAAGTTTTTGTATTTGAATATACAAAATTTTAAATTTTACTTATTTTATACATACTTTTCTATTCTTGTTCGTCTATTTTTCCCTTTAAAATCATTTTATACTCTCTAAATATAGTCAAAATCATTCATGCGTTTTATACAAAATACACTTTACAGAGATCAAAAAGCTTCTTGTTTGGAAATAATTGGCCTACTTTCTATTCCAAAAGAACAAAAAAATATTGGTAAGTTGATAAGTAATGAGTAGAAATAGCTAGAAAAAAGGCAAAGCCTGAAAATTTAACAAAAGCTTTAAATGAAATTCAAATACAAGATAAGATTTTCAAAATGTTGGCATTGTTTTTTTTTGCACAGAAACTCAGTGAAAATACTGTGATTACAATTTACATGCAGACAAATGAATTTTATTTGTTTATGCATAATATGGTGACTACAGTATTTTACTATTTAAAGATTGACTATTTTATTCCTTTTGATACGAGACAGGTGCTACCTGCTGAGCTCAAAACCGATTTTTAAAAAATTGGTTCATGTTTGTTTTATTTAGAGAGGCAGGAGGATTATTTTCGGATTAACTATTCATTTTCATATGTTGCTACAATTGCTTATTTTTTTTCTAAATTGCCGCCTAAAAATATATTTTCACTTTTGTTCACAATTAATTCCTGAATTTTGTGTTGCAGAATATTCATTTTCATTTTTGGGATATGAGTGCCGTCAGGCAATCTGTAGACTTTTACCAATGACTCCCTTCCAAGACTCTCACGTCAACCGTTTTGTGTTTACATTAATAGGAACAACTCAGATTCTTAAGATTGTCCTGTTATAAAAAGTAAAAACAAACAAGAGATTGAATTTAAACAACATTCTGTTAAATTGTTTCTCATAATCCTCCTGTTTTGATATCTCCCTTTTTCATTTGCGTTTATTTTCCAATACGGAAAATCAGAATTAAGCAGTATCTATATTTGGAGTTTTATATATTTAGAATCATGTCAGAGAGGGAATTCCGTAACCCGAATAATCCAGTCGTCATATTACGATCACTTCGATCACTCCATTAACGCTGGTCAACCGGAAATTAAAAATAAGCTGCATCATGGGATCAATGTATCCTGACGTTTGGCTCGAAAAAAGGAGGAGTTTAAAATTGTTTGTAAACATGTGCAATGGAGCACGAAACGTGTTTTCAATGTACACACTTGTTTGAACAGAAGAATTCAGCGAAGGAATGCAGACGAAATATCCAGAAGATTCACGGTGAAATCGATATAACTATTAGAAATTTTGAAGTCAATTTACGGTGGTGTTGAACAAGAATGTTTTGTTTGCAGTAAAAAGTGCCATAATGTCATACAGGGCATTCCGAATAGTCTTTATATTACGATCACTCCGATCACTCCATTGATTTGAATTTTCCAAATTTCATAGAATTTTATTGTACTACCTGGATTGGGTAAATTTGATCAAAAGGGCAAAATTTTGAAGGAAAAAACAAATTTTAATGTAATTTTTTTAGTATTTTACTGAGAAATTAAAATGTACTCAGTTATTTGTAATGGGGCAAAGTAATTTAGACATCAATGAACATGATGAATAGCTTTTTTCTTAACAAGACATCAATGAATAGCTAGTATTTATATCTCAGTCATCAAAATTTCTTTAAACATGTTTAATGTATTAAATGAACAGTGGACATAATCAAGAAATGCATGAGAAGAAAAAGGTTGATTATTTCATACTGACAGAAGATACAGAAGCATGAGTAGCAAAATCTCATATACAAAAAATGTATGGAACTTATAATTTAGTACGCTAGAAATGCTACATAAAACTCATCAGTGGCACATGAATCAAAACAGTAAGAAAGTCGAATCAAATACAAAGTTGAAAATTGAAGAACATAAAAAACAGGGTTTTGTTTAATCCATTAGATTTTTTTCTTAAATTGAGATACCGTTTTCCAAAAAGCTTTTCTTTCATGATAGAATTTACAATCTTGCCCGCGATCATCATTTAAATGTGTGCAATTTTGGAAGACGTCTAGGATTTTAACATTTTGGGCCATATGAATCCTAAACCCAAAGAAAGAACCGATTGACTTTTTCGTGCTTGTACAAATGTATATTTTTGACACTTAGTATGTGGGATTGATAACATTTAGAAGGAATCTATACTACTAAAGGAAGAGACTGATTTCATTGAGCCCCAAATCCTCTGAAACCATACAAAGTCGGAAATATTTGTGATATCATGTATAAATCTAGTGTTTTGTTCTTCCTAAATTTGTCTTTGAAACACTTGTTCTTCCACAGAAAATGCCAATTTTTGAGAAAATATCCGAATTTCAAAGACCGTTATCGATCTTTGTCTTATACACTACATGTATATTTGCATTTTCAATGTAAACAAAGCAACGCTATCATCAGGTAACGTTTTTTTTTCATATCAAAGAATTATCAAAAACAACAAATTTACGGGAAACAATATGATGCTCCTTCCAATAATTTACAAGTCTCGTGACAGACGAGACCAGAAGAAACAAAGAGAAATGCGGGAAACTAAAAAAGTAAACGATTTTGAGATCATTAGTATATTTTAATTTTTTTTCATTTTATTGATTTTCTTACCATAATTTGGGACTTAGTCCCCATAATATGTAGATGTAGCTACATGTACATGTATGAGTGATTTGATTTAAGTACAGTATTTCTGCAAAGATTACCTGTGACAGAGGACAAAGTCCATATTAGTAGCTATATTTAAAATAGATTTTTTTCACTGAAACTAAATTGATGAAATAAATCTGGATGGTTAATTTTACTAATAAGGCCTCATCAATAAATAATGTTTTAGAGTGAATCAACCAAAATCAGTAAAAAAACCACAACCAACTGTTACAGTCTTGGTCTTTAGCAACAAGCCCTATGCCAGAGTCTAGAGTAAAAATTGATTCAGCCATATTTAATAGTATTTACATGTTTTTTTGTACATGTGTATATACATGTACAGTGTTTATATCTTCACTAGGAAAAATCTTTTTTTGATTTTGATAAACCTTAAATTTTTAGTCCCCTACCGACGAAGTCGAAGGGGACTTAAGGTTTGCACTCCGTCCGTCTGTCTGTCCATCCGCCAGTCCGGCAAATCAGTTTTCCGCACTTTTTTCTTCATACTTGAAGATATTGTTTTGATATTTGGTGCATTGTTTAATCATGACAAGTTACAGATCAAGTTCGAAATTTTGTTCCGGTCTGATGATTTTGTGCAGAGTTATGGTCCTCAAATAATCAGTTATCGGCACTTTTTATGCCCAATTTATGGGCATTATGTTTTTCGGTCTGTGCATCAGTTCGTTTGTCCGTCCGTCTCTCCTGGTTCAGGTTAAAGTTTTTCAGGTTTAAGTTTTTGGTCAAGGTAGTTTTTGATGAAGTTGAAGTCCAATCAACTTGAAACTTAGTACACATGTTCTGTATGATATTATCTTTCTAATTTTAATGCTAAATTAGAGTTTTGACCCCAATTTCACTGTTCACTGAACATAGAAAACGATAGTGGGAGTGGGGCATCTGTGTACTATGGACACATTCTTGTTTTGTCATGCTTCAAGATATTGACTTGATATTTTTTATATAGTTTTATCATGACAAGTTACAGATCAAGTTCGAATTTTGTTCCGGTCTGATAATATTGTGCAGAGTTATGGTCCTTGGACTCGAAAATTCACTCAAATAATCAGTTTCCACACTTTTTTTTCGTCATGCTTGAAGATATTGATTTTTTTTAGTTTTTGTTTACAGTTAAATCACAAATTTTGAGAACACAAAATATATAAAACTATTAGTAGGACTGGAACTCAATGTGAATAGTTGTTGTGCTTCATACTTATTTGTTTGTAGAATCTGGAGAGAAAAATTGTGGTATAAATTTAATTTTACGTTTTGAAAAATCACAAATGTTTGAGCTAGAATTTCAACAAAAATTGATATAAAGGTATTTTAAATTATTTACTTGCATTTTGTTGAATTTTGTTTTGAAAATTGAAGTAGTTTTGATGAATCTTAGTATTTACTTAAGCATCTTCACAGGAAGATTGCACATATGTTGAATTGAATTACAAGAAATGACTGTAATATTTTTTCTGTCTATTCGAAATAACATAATAAATGTGATGCACACTTTAAAATAACCCGCTACACGGGTTATTGAGTGTGCACCACATTTTTGATGTTATTTCGAATAGACAGAAAAAATATTACAGTCATTCCTTAAATAACATTGAGAAGTTATTGAACTTTATTCTTTGAAGACACAACGGGCGTATCATGTGCTCATGGCGCAGCTGTTTATTTTTGCTTTTTATGAATGTCTGTGAAAATATATGGTCTCTTATATACTCATTTCTGCCTGTTTTAAATACCAAATTATCAATCATCATAAATATGTCAAATCAAAATACATTGAAAATTCTGACAAGATCATTATTGGATTACAGATTAAGAGAATTCTATTGCATTGTTTTTATTATTTCAGGCTTAAAAATTTTTTTTTTGAAAATCTCATGGCTGCCTAAACATGTGTTGTTTTTTTTCAATTTGAAATATTTTAAAATCATTAAAAAAAATTTAAAGTGAAAAAAGTCATTTAAAAAAAATCCTGACACATTTTCTTTTGACACAAATATTATAATAAACAAAACGATAGGTCTTTGTTCTTAGATGGTTTGACAACATTATTATATTGAATTTAATGTTATCCGCCAACCAATCGAACTCTGAATACCTATTGTAAGAAGACAATAAGGTTCTGGTCCCAATTATGTATACCCACATCTTGTATTCATAAGCATAATTAGTCCCTACCGACGAAGTCGATGGGGACTTAAGGTTTGCACTCCGTCTCTCTGTCCATCCATCAGTCCGGCAAATCAGTTTTCCACATTTTTT